CACCCAGTTGATGGATGTTTATGGCACTGGGGAAAGCGATGATTCACCAACGGAGTTAGACGTGCTTGGCCAAAATCTTTCAATATTTTCAATGGCCATTTTAATAGTGAGAATTGAATGATCGACCATGGACCATGGGATTTTCCGCGCTTTTCCCAAGCTTTTCAAAACCAGTTGGATCTTCAGACCTGATCTGGGCATGTGGGCAGGTTCCTTACTGCTGGGCGCGGGAAGTGAGCAACCAAACCATCTTTGGAGATGGAACCTTCCACTGTGCGGCTCAGTGGAAACACGGCCTTGGCGGGTTGGACTTTGTTGAGGAAACCATTTTGAAACCATGTTGAAACCATGTTGTTTAGTTGTTTTGTAAGACCAGAGTTCATTGGCCCAGATCTTCAGATCCTGCAGCCATCGAGTATGGGTCAAAATATATATAATGTCAACCCTGGATTAATAAACCCCTCTGTTTCATTGCGAGGGTACCATTTAAGTATTAGATTATGACTATTGGAGGAGTAGCCCCCTAATTGATACACCATGGTTTAGCAAAATCCGGGGTTGACATTATGTCAAAATATGTCAAAACCCCTCAAAACCAGAGATTTCTTCAATTTCGTGCCAAGGCCATGGAATTTTGGGGCTATCGGCTGGGGATTCTTGGGGATGGGCTGGGGGTATTTTCACAGCCCATCACTGCCCCAAGGTCCGCTGTAGCGAGTCGGATTGCATCGCTGGATGGTCGCCACCCTTGCAGAATGATTCGGTCCCAGTGAATCCCAGGTCCCTCGGATCGCACTGCGGGAAGCTGCGCAATTTTTCACGGCAGTGCGGCATTCCATTCTTTAATGCAATCTATTATTTGTGCCTTAAGGTATGCCTGGGTTTTTTGAAAGATAGTGAAAGTCAGTAAGAGTCCGGATGTGCCAAGTTTTTTGACACCTGAGGTCTTGCGATAGCTGGGCAGTCAGTGAAACCTGATGCAACACCTGCAGCCAGTTTCACCATACAGGCTGAATACGGCCTGCCTCACGTTGATACGGACGCATGGAGACAGGGACAGGCAGCTAAGGCAAGCACACAGCACACGTCTTCCGCGACTTCAACTGCCATTGATCGTAGAGTGCGTTTGTGGGTTCATGACAGGGAAGCTTCTGAAAACATCTGAAGACTTTTGGATATTGAATTCCGACATATTGTTCTAATTGTTTTCAAACTCACTGGTCCCAGATAGCTCCAGAAACTCACAGGATCCATGTGGCCGTCTGGGGTCCACGTCTTGAAGACGCATTGGACCTGCGGGTGAATGTTTGTGAAACCCCAAAGTCGCAAAACTCGCTGCACCGGGCATGCAGAGTCACCAGAGGGGAGCTGTTTTTTCGACCCGTGGATAGTTGGGGGCCGAAGAGTGTCATTCTGGCTCAAGCTGACCCCCAAAAAGTGGCACAGTTGGTATATTTCGAAGCGGCGTCACGCAAAGTGTGTGTGTTCACTTGGGATTAGTTTCGCTCCATGTTGGGTGTGCGCTTTCTGCAGAGTGGGACACAAATAACGCTGGAGCAGGGCCAAGGTGGAGAGAAGACACCTGTTTTGAACCTGGATCTCAAACTGCAGCTCTCGGTCCCAAATCTATTGGAAGTATCTTGACTGCAGAGGTACAGAAATCAAAAGTTCTCACAAAGGTATCAACCTTCATGAAGCTTTGTGAAGCTTGGGTTGACTGCCGCTCATACGGTGCCTGCTGTTGACCTTCAGCCTTAAATTTTGCACCCAGAAGTCTAGGCACTGAATGCCTCCTTTTTTCGATTGAGAATTGGGGTCGATTTATTGAACGGGAGGTGCTTGTGGCTTTAGAGATTTGGGTTTGCTATGGTTTACTCCAAATTGACAGTTTGTGACCTTTTTGTCACACACCCTCACTGCTGCTAGGCATTTCAGTGCATTTTGTTGCTCTTCAGCCCACAGTGGCTCCACATTTCTTGCAAAGCTTGAGACATCTGGAGAGGTAGCCACAAGCTGTAGTTTCCATGGAGATAATTTCAGGTAAATATGCTGCAGGACGCACACAAAGTCAAAGCCAGACGCTTCAGCGAATTTGTACTGACCTTCAACATCATCCAACATGATTCTTTGATGATCCAGCATCATCAACCATCAAGCATCGTCCAACATGTCCTGTTCGCCTCTCAACCTGCCAGGTGTAACGGATGACCGTTCGGACCCCGGCCAGCTGCGGTCGGAGGCTGTGACGGAGAAGGAGAACACCAGTGCGCCGTCGACGTCCCCAGTAGCATCGCCTGTGGTGGTTCCAGTGCCCAAGGCCCCAGCCATCGTTCCTGCTCAAGATTTGCCATCGGCTGCTGCTCAGTTGGGCTTGGTACAGCCTGTGCCCTCTATACAGACCTCTGACGATGCAAAAGGAGAGGAGGATGCTGAGACAGGCGTTGTTGGATGGGAATCATTTGGTGAACCACCGCCAGGCATGCCAACGCAAGATGCTAGCCTTTTTAGCACACTGCTCTCACCACATGCATCTATTCCACCAGCTCCAACAACTGAGAAGCTCGTTTTTGCAGTTTCAGACTCCGAGTTCTTTTTCTGTTTCAAAACGTAAATTCACCGGTGACCGATGCTCATTGTCAACTTGCCATCCCATGTGGAGAGTGTAGGTGTTTATACAATGGTGTTTTTAGAATCAGAACTTTTTCTGAACTCACTTGAGATCTGAATCTTCTCCATCACAGGGATTATTTCATTTGCATATCAATGTTGCATCATCCCAGAAGATCAGGGGATAGCCGATCTCAAAACCGTGTTTTTGGACTTGGGGCGAAATCAGGCCCCTGCTGCCGGAGTCCAATGGGCCGATTTCCGTCCACAAGAAAAAGAATAAGATGCTGGAAAGCCTCGATGAATGCTCTGAAAGTGCAGCGACTTCCGCTTCCACCTTCACCCTTGCTGCCTTGGAAAAGGATTTGAAAGAGCTGAAAGAGAGAACTTTATATGCGCATGACACTCATCGAGCACAGTTGCAAAGACAAGAAGGACACTTGCAGAGTTCCATGGTTTCCCTTGGAAACCGAATCTATAACCTGGCAAACAATATGAAGTTCCAGACAGCCTCTATCTCAAGAAACGTCATGGAGCAAGATAAACGTTTGGATGCAATGTGCGAGGGAATTGCATCTCTGGAGAATGGCATTTGCAACGAGCTTAAGGACCTCAGGGAAAGTCAAACGACTTTGGAGGCAGACACCGAGACGGTCGATACATCCGTGGGCAACGCCACAAGTAGCAGAGACACCAGGGCGCACGGGGCGCACGGGGCGTACGACGCGGCGCACGGGGCGTACGACGCGGCGCACGGGTCGCATGGGTCGGCGCCACATGCGTCGGCGCCAACCAGGAGCGCAAGGTCGGGCAGGTCTGGGAGACACGGAGCCTGGACGAAGCCGATTGGATATGGAGACCACTGGTGACCCTGGCGACCCTGATGTCATGTGACGTTGTAACTGTGCATGGTATGCATGGTGCATGAAAAGGTAAATAAATACCAGTGATTACCTGAACAGTTCTGGTCCTTGAAAAATGTAAATTTCCAATCATGTCTCACTTGCATGCCGCTTTTCTCGGCCGGTGACAGCTTGTGCCTTGTGACTGCCAGTCATACCGGAGGAAATTTCCTGCGCTGCGCTCTACCCATTTTGAATCTCCATATATACAGATAGCACAGAGGCTTGAGCGCAAAAATGCTGAGGGGACTCAAGTGTGGGAGATGATGACAGCCCGAAACTCCAGGCCCACAGCCCATGCTTTGAGACCATGTAGGAACTGATTTGCTACCTGACTATAGCTGGCTCATCTTTTAGGAAGAATGAGCACAGTTCAGCAACACTGCCTCCAGTTTGAAGTGCACTTGATTGGTGGAAGGGTGAATCTCATTTTTGATAATAGCTTCATATATTTTTCTTGGTTTGATCTCCAAATAGGGTATACCGGGTATACTACCGGGTATACATACAGACACCCTCTCAGGCTTTGATCATGTTTGATCCCCATCCCTGTTGGCTCAGCAGGGCTCAGTGGGGCTCAGCGGTTTGAAACAACGGCACCGGCCATGGCGACTCCAGCGAGCCGGGCCGCTGCGTGGCAAGTTGCTTTGGGCCGCTTCGAGGCCAGTGACCTCGCAGCCGTGAAGACATGGCAGGAACAGAAAAACGTGGAGAGATGTCGACCCTGGATTAATAAACCCCAAACGGCTGTTTAATTGGGAGGGTACCAGAGGGTACCATTTAAGTACTAGATTATGACCATTGGAGGAGTACCCCCCGAACATTAATAAACCATGGTTTAGCAAAATCCGGGGTTGACATTAACCCAAAAGCAAACCATGATGGTATCACCACATATCGCCACAAATGGGTGGCTATCATGCCCAGATGGTTTTGATTATTTTTGGGTTTACCACAGTAGATGTGAATTATGTCGAATTCTCGCGTTGAAAACAGCAACACATTTGAACTGTATTGAAACCGCAAGCTTTGCATATCTTGGATTGATCCTCTTGGGCTTGCCAGATGGATCAAAGCTGTTTTTCAGGTGGATATCATCACCTTCAACATTTCCCTGAGCGCAATGTCCAGAGTTAGTAAATGGATCCAAGCCTTGACGATGTTGAGACTCTTCAACCAGACCCTGCAGTTTAACGTCATCACCCTGAGCTCAGTGGTGACCAGCTGCGCCCGAGTAATCGCTTGGCTTAGCTCCTTGAATTTGCTGGAAAGGACTCGTATCATGAGCCAACCGATCAATGAGATTCTGATGAACTCTGTGATGGCATCCATGGGAATGGGAGAAAAGTCCTGGAGACACGCCGTTTCTGTCTTTGCGTCCGCCTCAGAGTTGTGTCAGGTGGATGTGATCTCCTACAACACCACCATGCGCTCCACCAACTGGTGGAAGTCGCTTTCCTTCATGCTCAAAATGACTGCAAGGGGCATATGTGACAACGTGGTCAGTCTCAACACACTGGTGTCGTGCCTGCCGTGGTATCGTGCTTTGAAATTTCTCAGACATGCAGAGGCGCATGATGCCGCAGTGCAAGCAGATGCAGTAAGCTACAACAGTTGTATTAACAGTTGCCCAAGGTGGCTGCAAGTGCTGGAACTTGGTCGCAGTTTGCTGCTTCGAAGATTGGATGCGACAATGGTTACTTCCACTTCCACCATGACTGCCCTGGAAAAGGCTGGGATGTGGCAGCAGCTTGTTTCGAGGATTGAACGCGCATGGGATGATCTAGAGCGAAGTGAGGCCACGGCTGTGTTGAATGCTGGAATCAATGGCCTTGGGCAAAATGGTGAGTGGCTGAAATCCTTTTCGATTCTACAGAAGTTTGCGGTATCAGGTGTGTTAACCGATGTCATCACGTGGGGATCACTCATTGTCGTTTGTGAAATCATGGAGAGGTGGCAGAGAGCTTTGAGTTTGTGCTCTGAACTGCAGACCTATCATTCCATGGAAGTGGTGGAAAACAGTGTCATTTTCAACGCAGCAGCTTGTGCTTTTGCAGAGGGAGAACTTTGGCAACAAGCTCTTGAACTACTACATGATGCAAGTCTGTCCCAGATGCAGGTGAACATTTTGGTGTACAACTCGATCCTCTTTGCTTGTTCCAAGGCTGCCAGGTGGCAAGAATCACTTGAGGTCTTAGGAAGCCTCAATCGTCCCAACGAACCGACACCAAGTATTAAGACCTACAACACAGTTCTGGCCGCCTGCAGATGCCACTGGAGGCAGGCCTTGCATCTCTTCTCACAGCTTCCTGACGGGCTGGAGGCGGATGCCATCACCTTCGAGATGCTGGTTGCAGCAACAACAGGTCGTTGCTTGCAGCAGGCGTCCTTATTGCTGAGCTTTGCAGAAAGCAACGTTCAAAGTCTGTTGAAATCTGGCTGAAGTTCAAGATGTGTCCAGAGCAGACTTTGCAGTTGGCAGAGTTAAAATGTCCTCCATCGAGAGTATCCGACCTTTTAACGCACGGCCTTGAGAGCAAGCAATATTTGGACATTGACGACTCGCCAGAGACTCTCGGCGTGTTTTGTTCCATTTCTCTAAAGCTTCAGGGAGAGAGGTACCCAGGCATTTTCTATGGTTTCCTCTTTCTAAGGGTTTCTAAGATGCAGGGATAGTGTCATCATCAATTCGGTGGCAAATAATTTGCAACCTACAGCCTTGTTATTTTGGAATCTGTTAATTCGAGTCACCGCGATGCGGGTGATGTATGCAGCACGTTTCACAGCCAAGTAGTTGGATATCATTGCTGGATTGGCCCCCCAGAGTGGTAACTGAATGTGTTTCCAACATCCCTTTCAGATCCTTGCAGATTCTTCATTGGGCTCAAGGTATTTCAAGGTATTCCAGACCTGAAACTTGACAGTCTCTTTTTCCATTCCAGATATATCTTGGGAAAGAAATTGGAGTATCTTCACTGCAGCATCAGCTTAGAAGTGGAGGCCCAAGAACCACACAAAACGTCGCGAAGATGCGTGCTCTGTTGGAGTTTTCTGATTTCATGCTGCAAAGTGAAGAGATCGTGATTCAAACTGACTGCATTGACTTTGATGTGCAAAGCAAAATAAACCTGTACAAAGGTGAGGCAAGAGTGATGCAAACGTGAAACTTCACTTTCGTAGTAGCAATTCAATACAGACAATTGCAGATGATTGCAGATGTACGTGTAACATCATGTAAGGCATTTTTTCCAGCATTCAATATGTTTGCACACTTGCATCCTCTGAATAGCTCTCAATAAGGTGCATTGTACGCATTCCTATGGTATGCATTTTGTGCTTTTTGTGATCTTGTATACCTATGGGGAGTATAGAACCATTCGTTACACAGGACAGATAACAACAGCTGCAAGCTTGGGGAAAAGTGGAGGGCAAAATCAGATGATGACTCTATTTGCCAATCTTTCCACGTTCTTACTTTTCCGTGAAGGTCGCGTTTCTGTTTGCCCAAGCCTGTTTTCCATTCTGGCAGCAAGCCGAAAAAGACAATGAGGAACCGAAAGCGCTGAGGGTTTCAGTTTAACATTGAGCTGCAAGAAAAAAGCGAAGACTTTGGCGTTCCACTTCTTTTTATCAGGCTTAAAGTTTTTCCGGCGGTCCTGTCGCTCTGAAAAGAAAACCCCAGTGAGGAATGATCGCCTAAGTACTGAACCCCGATGCCTAAGTATCATCCTCTTCAATCCAACCCAACCCATGTTCCCTTGGGTAGTCAAACATGACTGGCTTGTAAAGTCCCCCAATTTGTTTGATTAAAGCAGGACTTTATATAGTTGATAGATTCCATTCAAGGGAGGCGAATGAACTAGGAAACAATGTATAAGTAAATTGCAAGGAAATGATAAGGACATAATAGGGAAATAGTAGGGACAAGATAGGGAAGTAATTGGGGAAGCATGTATATGAAAATGATGGGAAAACACGGAACATAATATTGGAATGAGTGGGGAAATAATAGGGAAATAATAAGGGAATTAATTGGGAAATTATAGGGGAATGAATGGGGAAATAATAGGGACGTAATTCGGAGATAATACGGAAATAACAGGGAAAACATAGGGACAATTGCAGGGAAATAACCGAAGGACGTATAGAAGGCAAATTATCGACAACATGGACAGATGAAAAAGCAGAGGTGGGAAGAGGCAGAGAAGAGAAAAGAAGAAAGAAGATCAGAGAAGAGAAAGAGTCAGAAGAGAGAAGATCAAGGTGTGCGAACAAGTAGGAAAGTCGCGAAACATTGTGTTTTCCCGATGTTTTGTGGCTTCGGAGGGTCGAGAAGCAGGCTCGCTAAAGCGGCGAGTGCGGAGCCATCTGTGGAGATGAGATATGAACAATTGCACGCCGCTGTGGCGCGAAGCACGTTTGGAAGTCAAAATGTGACAAGCACCTCACGTTCGGAGAACTTTTGGAAGTTGAAATGTCGAAAAAGTGCACGTTGAGGCGCGGAGCAAATTTCGAAGTCAAAATGGTAAAACAACACATGTTCGGATCACTTTTGGACGTTCACGACACGACAACAACAACTACGTACAGCTACAGATGCAGCTACAACTATAACTACCACTATATACACACAACTACAACTCAAACTACAAGTGCAACTACAACTGCAACTTCAAGTACAACTAGATTTACACGAAACAACATTACACTACACTACACTACACAAATTGCACTTCACTACAGCGACAACTGCAACTGCAACTACAATTACGCTACGTATACACTACACTACACCACACCACACCACACTACACTACACTACACTGAAGTACAGTACACTACACTACACTACAATACACTACACTACACTAATTCCGGTACGGGCCTCGCATTTGACCCTACCCCAATGGTTTCGCATATGACCCTACCCCCATTTTGGGGTAGGGTCGAATGTGAGAAAGTAGTGTTTTTAGCTGCGAAAAGAGGGTCCCGGAGATGATGATGATCATGATGATGATGATGATGATGGAGATGATGATGATGATGATGATGATGATGTCACACACAACTTTGTCACATACAACTTTGTCACACACAGCTCTTTCACACAATCTGTCTTCCACCATCTCCTTTACCTTTGCTGCCTTTCCCCTCCCATCTTCTTGGTTGTATTTTGCTTCTGGAAGAAGTTGGCATGTGGGGTTATCCGGTCCCATAAGTGACGATGATGATGATGATGGTGATGATGGTGATGATGATGATGATGATACAAATGAATGTATATAATTGTTCAAGGGGGGCCGGTGGATTTCATACCAATGAATGTAATTGTTCGAGGGGGGCTGGTTGATTTGATACCAATGAATGTCATTGTTCAAGGGGGGCTGGTTGATTTGTTAGCAATGAATGTAATTGTTCCAGGGGGGCTGGTTGATTTCATACCAATGAATGTCATTGTTCAAGGGGGGCTGGTTGATTTGATACCAATGAATATAATTGTGCAAGGGGGGCTGGTTGATTTGATACCAATGAATGTAATTGTTCAAGGGGGGCTGGTTGATTTGATAGCAATGAATGTAATTGTTCACGGGGGCTGGTTGGTTTGATAGCAATGAATGTAATTGTTCAAGGGGGGCTGGTTGATTTGATAGCAATGAGTATAATTGTGCAAGGGGGGCTGGTTGATTTGATACCAATGAATGTAATTGTTCAAGGGGGGCTGGTTGATTTGATAGCAATGAATGTAATTGTTCAAGGGGGGCTGGTTGATTTGATACCAATGTAATTGTTCAATTGTTCAAGGGGGGCTGGTTGATTTGCAATGAATGTAATTGTTCAAGGGGGGCTGGTTGATTTGATAGCAATGAATGTAATTGTTCAAGGGGGGCTGGTTGATTTGATAGCAATGAATGTAATTGTTCAAGGGGGGCTGGTTGATTTGATACCCAATGAATGTAATTGTTCAAGGGGGGCTGGTTGATTTGATACCAATGAATGTAATTGTTCAAGGGGGGCTGGTTGATTTGATAGCAATGAATGTAATTGTTCAAGGGGGCTGGTTGATTTGATACCAATGAATGTAATTGTTCAAGGGGGGCTGGTTGATTTGATACCAATGAATGTAATTGTTCAAGGGGGGCTGGTTGATTTGATACCAATGAATGTAATTGTTCAAGGGGGGCTGGTTGATTTGATACCAATGAATGTAATTGTTCAAGGGGGGCTGGTTGATTTGATAGCAATGAATGTAATTGTTCAAGGGGGGCTGGTTGATTTGATACCAATGAATGTGATTGTTCAAGGGGGGTTGGTTCACGGATGTCTGGTTTGAGGCAGGGCAAGGTGGGGTAGGGTCAAATGTGAACCGGGAAATGTTGTTTTTTTCCTGGAAGGGTTGCGTATTTTTGTTAGGGTAGGGTCGAATGTGAGGGTGCGCGCGGTTCTTTTGGAGTAGGGTCGAATGTGAGGCTGCGGTAGGGTCGAATGTGAGGTCCGTACCAAATCCACTACGCCTATGAAATTATACGGAAATGATTATGAAATAATGCTGAAACAATTGGGAAACATTTAGGGCAATATAGGATAATTGGAATTCATAGGGAAATAACAGGGAAATAATAGAGAACAAATTAGCAAATGATAGGGAAACAATTGGGAAAACATCAGGAAATAATGAAATCATTGGGTAATAATAAGGACATATTGAGGAAATAATAGGGAAATTATTGGGAAATAACACGGAAATAATAGGGACATAATATGGAAACCATAGGGAAGTAAAAGGGCACTTAAGTACAAATGGTTGTGTTCTGTTTGAAAAACAATGCTGGTTCCACGTGCATCATGCTAAATCAAATGGACTTGCACCATGTCGAAGTTGTTTGGTGGCGGTTTCTTCCAAAATCAACCTCAGTCTTGTACAATGTACAAAATCATAAAAAGGCACAAAACGTGCAAACCACGGTAAGATGAACAAGAATCCTTCCATAAAATAGTTTCAGGGCAAACATTCAAATTTCAAAAACATTGTGGTGTCCCAAGTTGTTCGGATCCAAGGATTCACCTGGCAGCTGGAGTTGAGCCTTGGCTGCCAATCTCTGATGTATCAGGTGTGTTGGGTTGTGACTTTGTAGGTTGGTCAGCATTCACTTGACAGATTTCATGGAATACATTAAAAAAACACATTTTGCATCAATTGAATTTTCAATTGTTGTGGCACCATAAAAATCCGAAATTGCATAAAATTCAGAACAACCAGTTGTGCATGTGCACACAATTTTTTCAGATCCAAGACCTCGCATAGGTGTGACCGATCCGATGCGCTGATTTTCTGCATGCTCGGAGTGATCCTGGGAGAATGGTATTCATGTGCCTGGTTTCATGACCCTTCCAGGATCACAGCTCAGATTCACAGGCGAAGGTGGCCACACTAAGAAGATACGAGCGAATGTAGACCCCAGGCATCGCCTGACAAATCCATGAATACCAATTAGCGCGAAAAAGATGTTGCAGTTTCCCCAAGTGCGGTCAGATGCAAAGGTGTTTGAATTTCTGCCACCGCTTGCAAAGTCTTGGTTGACTGGTACACTCAAAGTCATGACCGAAGAAGGAATTTCAAGGTATAATTAATCGGCTTACAGATGGCACAGACCTTATCTCTACACGCTACACCCGGATGTCAACCACATTGGCCTTGATGCAGTTTGTTTCTGCGAGTTCCACACATTGATGATTTCAAACTGCAACTTGAAATCAAAACCAGGGAGCATTGCACACCTTTTCGCAAGGCACTGTACGCCCTTGTCAAAGTGTTGTGAGACTCCAAAACACGGATGATGTAAGGATCTAACAATGGATTGAGCAAAACCATACCTAGCCACACAGCAGTGCCTGTCCTGTGCCTTTCAAACATGGTTTCGCCATGTGCCGAACTGCGGCGGGCCTACCAACAGGACGGCTTTGCCGTGGCCCGAGAACTGGTGCCCCAGGAAGCGCTAGAAGCGGCCTTGGGACCGGAAGGCCTCCCAGCTGCTCTGAGCGTGGGGCGCTATGGCTACGAGAAATCCTCCACGTTGACGACTTTGGAACATTTACCCAAGGGAGTCACTGATATGAGCAGCATGAACTTGATCCACAATGGCCATTTCCTGCATGCGATCAAGGGTCTGTGGCCCTTGATCATGAGTGCTTCTTTTGGTGCAGGCTGTGTTTTTGGAATGCTCCCAGAGTCTTTTGAAATGCACCAGGTGAGGGGTGGACCCATTGCATCAGTGTTGGGGAGCATGTCTGGCGATGCCCACGTTCTTCGCATGAATGCACATATGAAGTTAGCACCAAAAGTTCCGGGAGTTTCAGACCAGCACGTCGCAGGCCACCGTGACTATGATTACTGGCGCCATCGATTTAAGGGTCGACCTCAACATTATCGAGATGACTTTGTAAACAGCACTGTTACTGCATGGATTCCTTTAGTTCCTGTTGATCGCTACGGTTCCATGATCTACGGAAGGGAGAAAGCGGAGCAGGGTGACCATGGTGACCCCACTCGGTTGCGAGCTCGAAGTTTGTCTGGGGTACAGCGGGTTCAAGTGCGAGCGGAACCAGGAGATGTGCTTCTGCATGGCATGGACACCTACCATTGGTCCACCTTGATGCAGAACACATCGGAACGGGTCAGATGGCACGTTGAGCTGCGCTTCCACAATGCTGCCGTGCTGGATCGCTTGGATATGAGCGATGATGAACTGCATCATGTGATGACCGGGCCGGCGATTGAAAAGGTGGACACGGAAAGAAGTTATGCAACTCTTTTGGATGTGATTTTTCAGGGCATTGAGAAAGTTCGATGGAGATTCAATGCAGACACTCTGGGACAAATCTTGTCAGGAAGCGACTGGCGTCGACAGCTGGAAATTCCTGTGATCGGTTTGGGGACTGGACGCCTATGGCCAGTGGAGACCATTGCCCCAGCAATGCATTCGTTTCTGTTGATGGGCGGACGTCACTTGGACACCGCTGTCAGCTATTGGAGCCAATCAGCTGTGGCAGGCGTGTGTCGAGCAGCTATGGCGAACGGTGTGGGTAAGGACTTGGTGATCACCACGAAGATTTGGCCTCTGGGCTTCAAAGAAAGCTTGGAAGCTTCCCGTGGAGCATTGAAACAACTGGATGGTGTGGGTCAAGTGGTGATTTTACTGCATTCTCCAGGACAGGTGAAAGGGAAACCCAAGGGCCCTGGAGGGCAGAAGTTTGCAGAGGCACCAGCCAGTTGCAGAGATGAAGCACGACCAAACAGTTGGAGGAGGTGTCGCGCGGAGTCCTTCATGGCTCTGGCAGCATTGAGGGAAGCTGGTGTTGTGAGTCACTGAGCGATACTGAGCATTTTGTTTCTACAGGTTTTGGTCTCAAACTACACACGATGAATTTGCAAAGTCATCCGAAGATATCCAAAGTCTGTATTTTCGCCAGAAAGCTGGGACGCCTGCAAGACAGCAGTATCCCATCATGTTTTGTATGCTATAATATGACATATATATATGTATACATTTACACATATATATATACTAGGGGCAGATGACATAGGGTCGGATAAGTGCAAAAACGACCGCTCACAAGGCACATGACATAGGACTCAAAGATACCCTTTTGACAAAAGGGCAGATGACTTGGACAAGTTCTTGACTTCGGAGGTTCACTAATTTTTGCTATTGGAAATATCCCAGGTGCAGATGACTTGGGACTTACAAACAACCAAAGAGCACATGTTCCCTCTTTTTCTTGCTCCATTTTTTTTACAGATGACATGGGAGTTATGCGCCGGCTTAACGGGCAGGCATTTTTCCATTTTTTTGACAGATGACATGGGAACAAGTGAGCCAATTTACACACGACATGGGACTTTACCGCAGGAGATGGGACATCCAAGGTGGGAACTGGCAGGTAGGGAGATGGGAAGAGGAATTTACCGCAGGAGATGGGACATCCAAGATGAGGAGGTGGGACATCCAAGATGGGAACTGGCAGGCGGAACTGGCAAGTAGGGAACAACAGGAGATGGGACATCCAAGGTGGGAAGTGGCAGGCAGGGAGACGGGAAGAGGAATTTTACCACAGGAGATGGGACATCTAAGGTGGGAACTGGAGATGGGACATCCAAGGGAGACGAATTTACCACATGACATGGGACTTCCAAAGCCGGAACTGGCAGGTAGGGAGATGGGAAGAGGAATTTACCACATGACATGGGACTTCCAAGGCCGGAATGGGACTTCCAAGGCCGGAACTGGCAGGTTGGGAGGAAAAATGTACCACAGGAGGTGGGAACTGGCAGGTAGGGAGATGGGAAGAGGAATTTAGCACAGGAGATGGGACATCCAAGGTGGGAACTGGCAGGCAGGGAGACGGGAAGAGGAATTTTACCACAGGAGATGGGACATCTAAGGTGGGAACTGGCAGGTAGGGAGACGGGAAGAGGAATTTACCGCAGGAGATGGGACATCCAAGGGAGACGAATTTACCACATGACATGGGACTTCCAAGGCCGGAACTGGCAGGTAGGGAGATGGGAAGAGGAATTTACCACATGACATGGGACTTCCAAGGCCGGAATGGGACTTCCAAGGCCGGAACTGGCAGGTTGGGAGGAAACATGTACCACAGGAGGTGGGAACTGGCAGGTAGGGAGATGGGAAGAGGAATTTAGCACAGGAGATGGGACATCCAAGGTGGGAACTGGCAGGCAGGGAGACGGGAAGAGGAATTTTACCACAGGAGATGGGACATCTAAGGTGGGAACTGGCAGGTAGGGAGACGGGAAGAGGAATTTACCGCAGGAGATGGGACATCCAAGGGAGACGAATTTACCACATGACATGGGACTTCCAAGGCCGGAACTGGCAGGTAGGGAGATGGGAAGAGGAATTACCACATGACATGGGACTTCCAAGGCCGGAATGGGACTTCCAAGGCCGGAACTGGCAGGTTGGGAGGAAACATGTACCACAGGAGGTGGGAACTGGCAGGTAGGGAGATGGGAAGAGGAATTTAGCACAGGAGATGGGACATCCAAGGTGGGAACTGGCAGGCAGGGAGACGGGAAGAGGAATTTTACCACAGGAGATGGGACATCTAAGGTGGGAACTGGCAGGTAGGGAGACGGGAAGAGGAATTTACCGCAGGAGATGGGACATCCAAGGGAGACGAATTTACCACATGACATGGGACTTCCAAGGCCGGAACTGGCAGGTAGGGAGATGGGAAGAGGAATTTACCACATGACATGGGACTTCCAAGGCCGGAATGGGACTTCCAAGGCCGGAACTGGCAGGTTGGGAGGAAAAATGTACCACAGGAGGTGGGAACTGGCAGGTAGGGAGATGGGAAGAGGAATTTACCACATGACATGGGACTTCCAAGGCCGGAATGGGACTTCCAAGGCCGGAACTGGCAGGTTGGGAGGAAACATGTACCACAGGAGGTGGGAACTGGCAGGTAGGGAGATGGGAAGAGGAATTTACCGTGGGAGGTGGGGCATCCAATGTATTTAATAGCTTTATAAAATGAAAATTTCATTTTTTCGATTTTCTTTTTGAAAAAAAAACTTTTAAATTTTCATTCCAATACCTTTGAAATGATCCACTGAATGTTTTAGAACTGACTGGGATGAACTGACTGGGTTTTAGCCTCTCCTCCTTTCCACCGCGGAACCCCGACTGGTAGCGCCAGCGAGCCGAGGCCACCGAGCGGGTTCGCCTTTCAGGGCGGGTCCTCTCCTCCAGGGCCACAGAGGGGGACACAACGAGAGGCCACAACGGGGAAAATGATGCAAAATGAGAAATGTCAAAATTGCTTTTGTAAGATATTGAAATGTCAAAATTGCACATATTTGCTGAATACTTGTGTTTTTTTTAAAAATGTTTTCTTTCAATAAATTGTATCCACAATCAGTTCTAAAACATTCAGTGGATCATTTTCAAGGTATTGGAATGAAAATATATTTTTTTTAAAAAATGCATTTTTTTTGCCAAAATATGTTCAAAAAAATAGTTTCTATCCATCAATTTATGTCCACAATCAGTTCTAAAACATTCAGTGGTTCATTTTCAGGGAATTGGCAGCGCTGAACGGCTACAATGACAAACAAAAGTCTCATGTCACCTAGTGCACACAACATACCCGCATTCCAAAATGAACCCTCCTAAGGTCCACTAAAAACACTAGTTTCCGGCAGATGACATGGAACCTAGATTTACACCAGGGTATGTTCCCACAAACCCAAGTCATTTGCCGGTAGTATATATATATAATAATAACCTAATATCACTATGTTTTGATATTTCCAGTCACAATTCTCCAACCAGGTGGCATTGGTGTCTCCAACTTCCTGAAACGGCACCTGGAAGAACTCCGGCATGACCTGCGCGCGCTGAAGGCCGAGGGCAGCCGCTCCGGCCGTGGGTTGCTGCGCACGTGGCCACCGGATGTGGTGCAACACGAGGTGCACCTGCTACAACGCGAGGAGGAGCTGGTGAGATACTGCCGACTTTGGAACATCACCGTGGGAAACTCAGTTTTTCTGTTCTTTTGCTGAACATCTGGTGGTGGCTCATTAAAGGTCACAAGTTTGCTCAATTTCTGAGGGCACTGGAAGGATTGCATTTGTTTGGCACAACCAGGGTCTTTGAAGACTCCACAGTTGCAGAAATTTACATATGTCAATATATGTCATCAAGATTCATCAAATGTCTATCAGAATTGACACCTTGATCCTGTCAGCAGTGGTATGCCCTGGAGGTGGTATCCTATGGCACCTTGGGAAGTCCTGAAGCGAAAGCGAAGCTGTTGGATCACCCGGTAGTGCGACAAGCAGCAGAGATGGAAGGCTTGACGGCTGCCCAGGTGTTGATGAAATGGGCACTGCAGAGGGGTTTGCATCTCATCCCAACCACCTCCAATCCCGAGCACATGCAGCAGCTGCTACAAGTGCCACAACTGCCACAATTGAGAAGAGGCACCTTGGCATTGCTGGAATCGGTCCCCCAGTGGGAGGCACCGATCTACCATCCATACTTGGAGGCAATTGAATAGTGTATATATGTATATATAGAAATATGATAGTGTATGTATGTGTATGAAATAGGAGCAACATTGACAGTCCAAAGAGGCCAATGTTTGCGTTAGAAGACCAATGTCGTCTTCAGCTGGGGTGAAAGCCTTGGATTCCTTGGATGCACCACTTGCAAAGTGCGGAAAACGATGGCTGCAGAGAATTATCATTGCCATTTCTTTTCCATAAAGATGCTAGGGAACATGTATATTATATATAGTTATACAGTAGACAAGATAGATAATGATAGATAATGTAGTTTTCTTGGAAAGCATGTTGCATTTTGCCTCATCCTCACAGATCCTGGCAGAGCTTTGTTGATTTGGCAATCTCCTTTCATCAACACGATCTGTTGGCACTGCTCTGTTGGACTCCGCATTTCTCACCTGCAGCAGGATCTTGACAGCAAAACAAACTGTACGTCAAAAGCACACATATATGTATATATATATATTTTTTTTTGGAGCCCAGTTCGTAGCATCTAAAATCACACCTCAACAAACGCATGCCAGGGCAGGACAACATGGAGCAACCACCCGACTTGGACCTTCTGTCTATGACTCTATGGTGACAAAAAAATGTTGAGCAACCAACACAAACAACGGCTACTCTCTCTTGCTGTTCTCCATGTCGCCACAGCATGCCATGAGAAATGAGTTTCTTTGGGAAACTCTACGAGTCTCTCTGCCCAAAGACAATAAAGGGTTAATAGTTGAGAAAGATGCAGAGTCAAAACCGTCCAGCAGCAGCTGTTGTGGTTCTAGCTGTTTTTCTGACTGTGGCTGTGCTGGGGTTGCTTGTTTTTGTTGGTGGTCGTGGTGATGGTTGTGGATGGTTTTGTGTTTTTGCCTTCTGTTCTTTCCTGCAGTAAACGAATTTAGGACCCAAAAAGAAGTCTATGTTGGGAAAGGCCGAATATCCAGCCATCACAATACTATCTGTTTCTAGTGCTGCTCAGGTTTCGTGAAGGTTAGCTTTTTTCACAGTATCACAATGATCGTTGTGACATTGGTGGCTTCAAGGCAATACACAGAACTTTGGAAAGCGGTGATCAGACCACCACGTGATCATTATGAGATCAAGGCGCAAATCAGAAAGCAGTTGGCAGTGGCCAGTTGGATTTTCCGACAGACACAGTTCCGTGGCAAAAAATTGAGCTCCCAGGATTTGGGGCCCCCAGTTTTCAGCATCGAGTGCGATTCTCAGTTTTAGCGCGAAACATGTTTCGCTTTTTTCATGGTTTTCCCACCTTTCTTTTGGGCTGAGGAATCGCACCTATCAGCGAACGGATCTTTCCTTGAAGAATCCCAGAGGTCTTACGATCGTGTGCTGCACTCAGTCTTGCCTGGGTGGTGTTTTTATCGCCTGGGATCAAATGGGATCAGGTGCAGCCACTTTGAGCCGATTGCTGCGTACGCCCTCAGTTATCCTTGAAAAACATGTTGTCTCAAACCAGAACTCTATTGCTTATCATCAGTTTCCCCATTCACATTTTGGGAGCCTGGTCTGGCACCGATGGGATCCGATGGGTGCCGGACCCTAGGGAACGACCGGCCGAGCGGCTTCCCTGTGTCGTCTACCTGCACGGCAACTGCAGCAGTCGCTTGGAGGTCATCGGTTTTCTTTATAAGGAAACATTGGAAACATCATAAAGAATAGGATTTCAAACCATTACAGACCAAACATTGTAAGATGCAAATTTTGGGTCTCTTCCAGAGATCAGTGGGTCATTTTGCCTCATTGCGGGTAGATGTTTTTGTTTTGCTCCAGTGATGAACCAGGCCGTAAGCACCTTGCCTGTGCTCCTACCCTTCAACATCACGGCTCGAAACACCCAGGGCAGATGCTAACCGTGCGTGCGAATCTGGATATCTGGATGAGCGCTCACATGGGATCACCTGGGTAGCCCATGGTAGCCCCCATATCTTATCATATCTTCATGGATGAACATCGTCCAAGGTCTTCTGCCTCGATTTCGCCGGGTCTGGTCTCTCAGATGGAGAGTGCGCCTGCACAAAATCAGTGGATCTTGTTGGATTTGGTCGACAGATTTGCACAGGTACTTGAGCCTCGGCTACTACGAAAGAGATGACCTGGCAGTTGTTGTGGACCATCTTCGAGAATCCAATCGGGTGACATGCATCGGTGGAGTTCTCGGTGGTTCTGAATCGGTGCAGGGAATTCTCAACTTTCTGTGGTGTGAGACACTCGAGCACGGATCGTGAGAATTTGGCAGAACCCAGCGTTATTTTTCATCTCCTTGCTGCGCTTAAGATATTTAAAGGAGGTTGCCCCGTAGAGGTGACTAAAGGAGTCCCATGGTGTGAGCAAGTGTGTGTGTGTCACAATTGTATACAGTTGTGACATTCCAGCTATTGTTTCCCGATGAGTTTCTATCAGAGGATGGACATTGCTCAATTGAGGTCTCTGGGGTCGCTCCATGGGTGCCTCTACGGCCCTGCTGCATGCAGACCGTCAGCACTGGCCTGTGCTGATAGCATTTCAATGGATTTCATGGAAGCCAGTGGGGAATGGATGCATCCTTTTGTATCTTTTGTCCTATATAAAGCTCATATCATATCCATTCATATCCCCAGACATTGCTCAGTACAGTGCTCTAAGCTTTGCTTTTGCTCTTCAGATTTTACATGGCTGGTCTCTGGTGTCGGATGAACCAAAGTTTGTTACCTTACCAGCAACAGTGAAGGCCTATTGGTGTCCCTTTTGACAGAAACGTGAAGATCATGGCAGGTGACCCTTCAATCGCCGGCCTTGTCTTGGACAGTCCATTCTCGGATCTGAAGGCGACAGCTGCCATGAAGCAGGACTAGTGTTGTGTTTCAGCATCCTTCCCAAGATGTGGTAAGTCACCCAATTTCACCCAAGAACTGGAAGACTTTCAAGTTACCACACATGTGCATGCATTACAGCATGTTTCCTTGGTGCTCGACTGCTTTCATCCGCCTCAGTTTCAGCTTAAGCAAAGACTGGAAGACTGTCGTGGCCTTTCAGGCATCGTTGGCCATGGTGCGTTTGAGTTTGCTTGCCCTCAGTTTGCTGGCAGTGGCCCCGGCCCTGCTACCCGGCTATCCTGGATTTGTGGCCCCCTTTGCTCACCATGCTGTGCCACGCGTGGCCCTGCAAGCCAAACAGGACTTGCAGGAAAGTGAGTGCCCCAACATCCCCGCGTTTGTGTTGGCTCTCGTGGCAGGTTTGATGGTGGGCCTTGCTCCACCTAGTTTTGCGGGCACTGGTTCAGGCCGTCCTGACTTTCAAGTAGTGAGGCCTGGATACATGCAGGGCATTGACGCATCCAATGCGGCAACCAAGCCTGGAGAGATTGACTATGTGACCCGATCTCGCATTGAAGCGGAACAGTTCCCTGA